ATTCTTTTACTAACTTACTTGTAATATAAGAATAATTAGAACCCGGATCAATCAGTACCAATACTAATTTATCGTACAGCTGAAAAGTACCTGCTATAATATCAGGGTCATCACGGTCTTCACTTGTCTTTAGATGGTACACCCGTGCGGTTGACCGAACTTCAGGTTGAGCAGAGAATTCAGACGGGTTCCTTCCTCTGCCTCTTCCTCGTCCTCTTTGTGAGGAAGAACCAACTCTTTCAGATGGTGCAGGCTCACCAACCATCAATGGACAATCCCGGATAACATGTTTGGCATCTCCGCATCGAAAACAAGTCCCAGCAGCCATCCGACAAGCCCCAGAACAGTTTTTCCCATAGTGCTGACACTGTCTCACTTAACTCGGAGTAGATCTCCCAACACAGATCCCACTGACTGCGTCTGTCTAGGTCTTGCCTGACTTGCTCCCCTAGCAGACGATGCAACTGATTCTGATCTAGTTTGTGATCGAAATCCCGAGTCTCTTCCCCTTTTTGATAGTGCTGAGCTAGAAGAAGCACCCATTCTCTTTGATGTCTTAACTCTAAAATCCCCAAATCTCTCATTCTAAGCTCTTTCAAGAGCCTTGGCACGATTGATCACCTCTTGGAACGAGGACAAATTCAATACTATCAGCATCTCTTTCAATCTAGGGCGCAAACCCTCCACAAACCATTCACAAGCCTCTTTTTCAGTAGGCACAAGCTCGGATGCAAACCTACTCAGCTTGTTGAACTCACATTCATACTCATATACAGAGCGATTCATCTGTTTCAAATTCAAAAACTCCTACTTCATATGTCGAATAAATTGATCTCCAATGTACTTGTTTTTAAATTCATCTAAGAATAAAGACCAAGTTAATTGGTCACTGGGCATCCTCATGGTGATGTTCATCCACCATATTCTCGCCTGACCCCTCAACAACGAGACAACTCCATCTAACTTCTCCACTTCAGAATAGTGGAGACCATCCAACATGATTTTTAAATCATTTAACCAAAGATCTGCTGCAACCGGACCTTCTTCGGTTTCTCCCTTAAATTCAGGAGCTCCTAAACCTCTCAACTCTTTTGCTACATTCATCATTTGAGTTGGTGGAGCAGGAGGTTGAAGACGCGTTAGAATATCGTCTAATTCTGAAGAACATATCTTAATCTTGCACAGGCACTCCTTGAGATGCCTGTTCTTCACCTTGCCTGGCCAGGGCAAGTGAATTACTGCTTTCAGTAGGCCTATCTTCTCGCGCTTCACTTCGGGAACTATTATGTCCGGACATCTAATAAGAATAAACACATTGTTCTATTAGCAAAACAGCATACTCATACTATACCATATCAGAAGTTCTCACTATTTGTTGGCATGTATTCCATTAAAAGACTCTATAGACTCTGGTTTATGCCTAGAATCGGCTAAACCATAGCTCTGATACCATTAAATGTAATCCCCCCAACCCGGATACGAGTCAGAGATATTACATTGACTTTTAAAACACAACTCATTACAAATAATAGTAAAATACTTGAACTTATATTACGAAAAATACAGTAATATACATATGGTAATATAAGTTTACCAAAATATTCAGAGCATACATAACTTAACTCTTTAATTACATGCCAACATCCATTTCCATAACAAAATGACCTACTGATTAAGTTGCTTCTGATCTGATAGTTGCAGGAGTAATGTTGTCCAGCTGCTTAACCTCGATCGTCTACTTTATCGGATCCTACGTGTGAAACACTCACACGCTAAGTCATCGACTTAGTGAGGCAATTAGTAATAATATCAATAAATATAAAGTAATTGCCAAAATGAGATGGGTTGCAATAATAAGATGTATGTAAACAATCCAACAACCAAAACCATGTTTCTTACACATATACTTATCAAATTCACATTCATAAGTTCCTTAGTAAGTTCATTAGCCCATGGTACCATACAGAGAACCTAAGTATGAGTATTGTGAGGTTGTGCACTATGCTGTCACCACAGCTCATATAATTGCACCTAAGTGCCACGTAGAATTGCATCGGAGTGTCGCGTAGAATTGCACCGTAGTGCCATATAATAATATCCATAAGGACCGTATATCATTCCTTAAGAATCATATACATATGCCAAGGATCAAGTATGTGTCTCACCAGACCTCACACATGTTCCAAAGAATACATATATGTCCCGAATGACCACAAATCAAGAATCATATACATATGCCAAAGATCAAGTATGTGTCTCACCAGACCTCACACATGTTCCAAAGAATACATATATGTCCCAAAGGACCACATAGACCCTCTACCCTTGGCATGCCAACTATACATATAATTCTCATTTACATAACATGGGCTTTCACAATTTATCTTATTTGTATCAAAATATTGAATCTAGACTTATCACAAGTCTAGAACTGAATAAAATACATATTCATGCTATGCATATGCACTCACCTAGATTTCTTTGTCTTTCCCTCGATTGATTGATGGTTCCGGAACTCGTTTAGGCTCGATATTACATAGTAATTCATTTTACTTATCAGTATACTATTAATATATTCTAAACTATCATCTAGTCTAAAAGAAAAGCCATTTTCATCTTTTAATGGAGGTATGCATCGATGCACTACACCATGCATCGATGCATAAATCCTATTCGATGTTTGTATTTAATGGGGATGCATCGATGCACTCCTTATGCATCGATGCATAAATCCTATTCGATGTTTTCTTTTTAAATTAATGCATCGATGCATTGCATGGCATCGTGCACCTTAAACAATTTTTGGGATTTATCATCGATGCATCGGTGCACAATGAATGTGCACCGATGCACATTGCCCAGAATTGTCATTTTAGCACGAAAATCTCTTCTTAGTCTACTTAACACTTTATATTTCCCCTTTATATATCCTTAACTTGCATACTCTACTTAACTAATTATTATCCATTCCATACTTTGATACTTAAAAATCCAATTCTCCATGTAGAATTTAGAATCTAACCCAAATTCCAACATGTTCTAATTTGAATTCTAACACCTCATACTTCTTAGTTAGCTTTATGACAAGTCAATTCCACTTCTAATTCTTATTAGGAACTCTAATCCAAGATTTCACTTTTCTACTTCCTTTCTTTGATTCTTCATATTCTCCTCATCTTATGGTTTTAAGATAATCTAAGCTTTCCTTAAGCTTAGTTATCAACTAAGGATCAATAAGAAACCTTAAATTCATCAAGAATTTAATCAACAAGAAAACTCACCTTTAGCTTGGTCTCTCGATGGAGAAGAGAAAGAAGAAGAAGAGAAATCTGGAAATTTTTGTTCTCTTCATTTGCCTTCCGTGGATTTAAATATCCTCATCTAATATTTAATTATTTCCCCTATTAAAACTCCTTTACCCCTTTAGTTCCTCCTTCTTTGTTAATTGATCCTACACAAAACATTCCCATTAAATCTTTCAACTATTCAATTTATCTACTTTGGTCACTGAATTTTATAATTTCACAATTTGATCACTAACCCGGTATGGAGGATGTTACAAACTTGTTATAGACCAGGTGTTGTTGAAAGTCAGAAAATATCATCATTAGTGTTCAATTTCCCAGCAACTGACCTAAACTAGATTCACCTACTCGAATATTACATATGTGAAGATCATGATCATCATTGAACTTCATCAACAAAAGTATAAACCAATCAGCTTTGCAATCTCATGTGCAAGATGCCCCATTTTGTCCACATCCTTACATACCTGAATGCTAAGCCCTTAATTGTCTCTTCATGCGAGTAGAAGGCTAGCTTGGTCCCTGCAACAGAATGATATGTATTCTGGTATCTTCTGGAGTAAGATTAAGGGTTCTTATTTTACGTAGGTTCAATCTTGTCACTTGCCCAGAGGCCATAACCTTAATTCTCAAGAGAGCTTTTAATTCAAATGATATTAAAAGAACTACAAGATTAAAACTCGTTCAATTATTCACAGCCTTAGAAGGTAACATAAGTTCCATCATCAAATGACTTAACAAAATATTTAAGCAAAAGATAGAACAAAAACGATTTCAAACAAAACAACGCGCTTAATACAAGTGCAAGAAAGCTTCATGGTAGATGCATCTCGATCCACATCAGAATGCCCCATCATTCATCGAATGTCCATGCCCCCGAATCAATCAGATTCTGGACCTTTTGCTTAATGCCCCACAATTCTCAGTCGAATGCCCTGAACTTCCTATGTGATAGCTACATACGACATTGACATTGTAGCCTTTAGGATATGACGACTCCACTAGGGATACGTTAGAGAGTCAGGTTGTAAGTCGCTTATACATTGTCGTAGTGGTGGAAATTATGAGTCCGAGTCTATAGTTAGCTTATGATCCTTTTATTAAAATTTTTTAGGATATGACGACTCCACTAGGGATACGTTAGAGAGTCAGGTTGTAAGTCGCTTATACATTGTCGTAGTGGTGGAAATTATGAGTCCGAGTCTATAGTTAGCTTATGATCCTTTTATTAAAATTTTGCATTACTATATATTCTTTATGTAAATAGTTGTACTAATGTTTAAATTCATGTTTTCAGCTCCACCAAAATTTCTCTCGAAAGCTCCTTTTTTTTGTTTTGTTTGGTCGAAGGTTTGTGTGTTCCTCCTCATACACCTCATGTACATTTTCATGACATAAGCTCTATACCCGAGCTTCGTCCCAAGTAAGTAGGGGTGAACGCTTTGCTCTCGTAAGAATTTATTCTTCGTATGAGCCTTAGCAAATAACCCGAGAGTATTACATCAAGAAAAATAAATCACAGATAACACCAAATGAATTTTAACCACTTTTCTCTATGTTGAATTTGTCATTCATATACTTTTATGGTCATTGCAAACTTCTTTGAATAATTATTTTTGGTTTCCCTAGTCAATTGTGCTTAAGATGCTGTCGCTGGCCATATGTTTATAGGTCTATCATTTATGCATACATTCAAATAAATCATTTGTTTTCTTTCTGCATCTTGGTTGACTACATATTGCTATACACATTACCTAATCTGTATTAAATGGTTAACATCATGAATCAGTCAACCCATTTTTCTTTTTCGACCTTATTGGGTTTAACTCATATATGACAAAAAATTTATTCAAGTTCATACTAAACTTCAAAATTATCAGATCGACTGCTGCCCCAGCCTTGTCAGTGATGAGTAAGTATGATGATCTTGATCTATTTTCAAGTTTTATACTCTTGTCAACACACCTTCATATGTTATCTTTTCTGGTTAAAATTTCTCTAATGCTTGAATTTTGCTAATAATTGTTTAGATAGTGTTTCTGGCTTACATAAAGAAAATGCAATTTTACTTTTCTTGCTTCAATGATGCAGATGAATTTTCGGGTGATTTTATAAAGCAAAATTTGCTCCCTCTGGCTGTGCCCATGAACCATGAAACACTTGGTCTGTTGAGATATGATGATAGAAAAATTGTCTTAACAATGATGGAAGATGAAAAGGGAGAGATCACAAAAATTGATCAAGTTATTGAAGCCTGCTGCCTCTGCAAATCGTGACTTGGTATTTGGCTATGTTGGAGTTAAACAGTGGAAAGAGTTTGCTGATACATTTGGTGCCAATAAGAATAAAATGTTTCCGAAATTGATAATCTGGAACGGGGATGAGTAGTACTTTTCGGTAAGTTTTAACTCTTCAAACATCATGTTTAATTCTTAGTGCTATAGGTAAACAGAACTCGTTTTGTTTAGTTCTCAGTGCTATTGGTGGAGATGGTAACCGGTTAAGTTGTTGAATGCCAGCTTAATTCATCATTGGTGCTAAATGGATGTTAATCACCTGCATCTTCATAGTTCTTGGCCACATTTTTTTTAATACTGTTATCGACATCGGCAATCCATTTGAATAAATGATTGTGCTGCTCCGTATTTACATTATTACATGATAGGAAGCAACTTTTATATGCTGATGTTCATCAAAGGTTACGCAGCTTTGATCACTCTTCTTTTCAGATTTCCTGAATTCATGAAACTTCGCCATTTCTTTATTAAGAACCCACAAATTTGCACCCTGAAGCAATTTTCAATACGTTCGCTAAATATCTTCGGGGTTTCTTACAAGCCATGACGGTTGACTTTTAAGTAGTTTGTTTCTCTTTTATTTTTTTTAACTAGTATATTTATTCAAATAGAAAAATAGAAGACATTGACTCATCTACTGCATTTTGTGGAAGGTTATTGGTTCTGAAAGCCTTGATGGCGAAGATCAAGGGTCTCAAATCTCACGATTCCTGGAAGGATATAGGGAAGGAAGAACAGGAAAGAAAATGATTGAAGGGGAATCAATTATGGACCACATGATGTCTACAATTGGCGTCGGAGTAGTGGTTATAGTCGTGTTTGTGGTTGCAATGCTGATGCTTATCCGAAGCCTAAGCAAAGATGATGATGAAAGCCTAAGTCCCGCTGCATCGCGTCCTTGATGGGACGGTCCTGCTTCATCGCCTGCCACCCTTGGGATCGAAGAACGAGCCGATGTGCCCCCCATTTCCGTTTCGGAAAATGGTTCCATTAAGACCCGCATCTCGAATGAATCCTCCGTCCACGAGGTCGAGCGGATGGGTCGGAACCCGAATTTGATGGGCTTGTTTCCCCAGCACCCCACATCAAATAAGCACCGCTTATGAAAATATAAGAGCAATCCAGTAAATGGACGGGGAGACATTGATCATGATGATAGCTCGGGCTCGGAAAGCTCGGATTCCCAGTATGGAGCTAGGAAGAAAGAAGAATGAAAGTGAGACATGTCTTTGGAACATATTTATTGGTAAAGATAAAGGTAAAAAATGCAGATGTTCCCAAGATTGTTCATTGCAGTTCATCTTTACTGCATGAATCATGTAAATAGAAGTGACCGAATATTTTGTAGCTATAGTTTGTAGTAGTTTCATTTGGGATTTGAATCATTACAACTTTGAGGGTTTTAGGGTTATTATGGTAACGTCCTAGGCTCGATTTCAATCCACTTTCCACCATGCACCAAACATTAATTCATTTGATTGCTCGATCAACCCAGCCCTGAACTCGAAATCTAAAACATTATAAACCCTTTAGGAGTTGATTTTTTTTATATTTCAAAATTTTCATATTTATTCTTGAAATTGTTTTATTACTTTATTTTTATTTTTATTATTTTCAAAGAATAGGAGTTTGACTTTTTAATATTTTAAAATAAGTGGTAATTATCTTCAAATATGTTATCATTTTATTTTAATTTTTATTTTTTCAAATAAATTGGTATCACTAGACTTAATATTCGATTCACTAAAAGAATATGTCTGCTAGAATTATTGTATATTTTGTTAAAAAAAACTTAAATGATAATTTTGCTCCTAAACTATTTTTACTTTATATTTAATTTTTTTGTCAAAATTAATATTTAAATTTATTTTTCTTTCTAATTTGCAATTTCTGTTTGTGAATTGATAAAAAACTATGTAAACATCACTTGTCACTTAATTATTGAGTCACTAGCGTTGACTAATGGTTAATCAATGAAATTACTAGAACTCATCAAGTGTAGTTAAGAGAAATGTATTTGCTTAGAAATTTGGGATTCGAGTAGTTGTTTTTATAAAGCCTATGTTATAATAATTAAGATTTTTTTGAACATATATACTTTGTAATACCTAGACTACTAAAAATTTACTGAAAGTACTAAGATGGAAAATAAAAACATAAATTACTTCAAGAAAATGATAGAGTTAAAAAGGACATTCAAGTAGTTAAAATATGAAAAGATCAAATTTGTTCAATTTATATTTCTTGATAATAATGTATTTAAGTTTATATAATTAATGAAATTATAACTTAAACCGAACATTTTAGAAATAGGATATTAAATAAATTTAGTTAATTATTTAAGGGTGAATAATTAAAATGATCGTTTTCTGTAGCATGAGTAACTAAATTAAAATATTTATTTTAATTATCAAAATAAAAAAAAACACTAGTAGTTGAGTGACCAACTGTGTAGTTTATCCCAGATAATAAAAAACAACCCTTCATTTTTTTCGTCTTATCCTTCACAAAGTTAATAAAAAACTTGTACCCAAACACTTCTTTCTGTTCTAAAAATCTCTCGACGAATACGATTTGATCGTTTAATCGAAGCAGCTTCTAGACCGTTCTGGCAGAACGACCCCCCCCCCCCCCCTCCTCAAGCCAAAAAAAAAAAAAAAAAACCCTCCAAGCAAAGAAGTAAGAAGATTATAAAAAACACCAGAAATTGGAAAATGATTGAGAAAATTGAACAGAGTGTAGTTCTGATGGAAAAATCAAGAACAACCGCATCATCGTCGATAGAAAGTTCTAGAGACCTGCAATGTGTAGGCAAAATGGAAATCGTAAAACCGAAGCCTGTTGGTTTTCTCTGTGGTTCGATCCCTGTTCCAACGGATAATTCCTTCCACGCTTTCAACTCGGCTCTCGTCCCTCTTCTCGCCCAACGTAAATTTACTTATTTTCCTTTATTTTCTTGTGTACAAATATATGTGTTTTGAGGGGTTTTTTTTCCAGATCAAGTGCGCCAAGGTATCGGATGCTCCCGATGGAGACCGACTTAAACATGCCGCCGCTAGTTACAAATTTTCTTGAAAAAGTGCTTCCCGTTGGGGCTGTACAGAAGGCTACCGGAGGTACCTTTATTTTTCTCCCTTTCTTCTTTTAATTTCTCTTTGAGACATGATAGGCTAAATTTTAGCTATAATTTTGTAGCTTCATGAAATGAAGTACTACAAGTGGAAAAAAGAAACCATTTCGAATTTTAGCAGATAATCTGAGTGCCCGTGGATGGTACTATTCCTTGATGTTATTAAAAAAAAGAAAAACCTTTTAGTTAGTGTAGTCCGAGTTACTTATCTTGCGCAAGGTAGTAGGATAGATTATATCACCTGCACGGTGTAAAAGTTGCAGACAAACTTTTGCCCGAAATGGAGTTTTAGCATTTTAGTGGAAGGTGATGCTTACTATAGTTTTGAAATTTGACTTGAGAAATGATAGTTTCGGAGGACTGCTTTTCGTGCTGGCAAATGAATTCTTCACTTGAGAATGAATCTATACATACAAAACTTTTCAATGAACTTGGACAAATGTGAATGATCTTTTCGACAACAAGGGTAATCTAAATCCTTCATTTAGTGAAGGTACATGATCTTACCCTTTATAGTTTTCATTTTTTGTCCATCCATCTTTGTTGTTTGAATCATTTCAGATAATATTAAGGATGCTAGTTTGTATTGGGAGACTAATAGGTGCAAAAGTCTTTCCATTTTCCTTATATTGGATTAAGCACATGTTATTTTCATCAGATATAGCCCCTGTTCGGCTTTTCTGGAAGTTGTATAGATTGTATTTCAAGTTAGCCTTGACTAGATAAATACTTAGAAATGATGTCTGTGCATGAGAGTGAGCAAGAGATAATGAACATATTAAACTTCTTACTTCTTTCTAATTTGAATATCCTTGAAGCTCTCTTTTCCGCTTTTATTCTTTCTTGCACTTGAATTGTCCTTTTTTCACTTTGTAATAGTTAAGGCCACCTTCTGCATTTCTTCTTTCTCGAGTTTGAAATGTCTACATCCTTTTATCTGATTTTATGTTATTCTGAGACAGATATAATATGGGAGGATGGTGCTGTTGCATCTAATCTTAGTAGGAAATGCGAGGCACTTGCTGTGTCTGGTTTGGTGGAGTATGGAGATGAGATTGATGTGATCGCTCCAACTGATATTCTAAAGCAAATATTTAAAATACCATATTCTAAGGCTCGATTATCTATTGCTGTTCACCGCGTTGGACAGACTCTCATTCTGAATACAGGGTTTGCATTGTTTTATTGTTATTCTATTTTCTGTTCTGTTTGAAGTTCGATGTAATGATATTTTGGCATTTTGCAGGCCTGATGTTGAAGAGGGAGAAAAATTGGTTAGAAGACATAACAATCAATCGAAATGTACAGATCAATCTTTGTTTTTGAATTTTGCTATGCATTCAGTTAGAATGGAGGCCTGTGATTGTCCACCATCTCATCAAGCACCTCTGGAGAGGCAATCAGATTCTGCTGCCCTTCCTAGGGGGGAGACACCAAACTTTGTGGCAGAGAATGATAATATTTCTAGAAAAGATGGAATCAAACACCATTCAGACTACTCGCAGGTTAAACAAGACGAGTTATTTTGGGGAAGTAAGAAGGCCCACAGAAACAAGAGCCGTGATTCTGTCAAGAAGGCTTCACATGTCGGTGAAAAGCCCAGATGCTCTGTGCAAGAGTCTGAAAACAGAGAGGGTTGGCAATAATGGAGAGTGTTATATTGGCAATTTCACAATTTCCGGATGCTTCTTGGTAGTGACTTGCTTCTGTCAGTAATGAAAAGTATGCTGCTGTGAGCTTGCACTTGTGGGACGTACACGACAGGTTGTTTCTAGTGATTGAAACTTATTTGTGTTGGTACTTTAGGTTCAACTTTCTAATGTTTTTCTACAACCCTGACAGGTCACACCATTAAACTGGCTTGAAGCTTGGCTTGATAATGTCATGGCTAGTGTTCCTGAGTGGCCATTTGTTATCATCAAAACGGTGTTGTGCAGGGGTACGAGCTTCTAAAGACGGATGATATATTTTGTTAAAAGGCATTGCCGATGGTACTCCTGCATTTCATCCCCATGTTGTTCAGCAAAATGGACTTACTGTTTTGAGGTTTCTTCAAGAGAACTGCAAGCAAGATCCTGGTGCTTATTGGGTATCATTATCTTTTCTTTCTAAAACAATATTTCTTTCATGTCTCTTCAAAAGTTCACTCGGTGAACTGTGTGTATCATTTTGTTTTACAGTTATAAAAATGCTGGTGAAGATGTAATTCACTTTTGATCTTTCTGTCGTCTCCAAGAGCCGTTTTTGGTGATGTGATGATAGTCAAGCTCTTGCCTTCTCTTGTACATAGAGGGAGAAGTGATTCTTTATTTTCACTTGGAACTTCTCTACGCATTGCACCGGCTTTCACTTCAATGGTGTGTAAAACATAACTCTTTTGCGGGTTGATCACTCTGCTTCGTGTAATTGTCTGCTAACTACGGATATATTATTGGTGCAGGCAACTAATAACAGGGCCAAGTGTGCAAATTTTTTCAAAAAATGCTTGGATTTCTTGGATGAGCCAGATCATCTGGTATCTCTGCTTTTAAAATCTGTATTTTGGTCTGACAGTTTTATCTTCATTTATGATATGAAAGCAGGTATGGATACTTATTTTTAAAGTTTT